CAGCGAATGACTATACATAATTATATAGAAAACTAAAACTACAAAATTCCAATTACATTAATTCCTTTTAGATTTAACAATAATTGTTATACACATATATAGGTTTGTCCAATAGGGACGCAGGAAAGTAAACGTCAATTTGACATAGCCGCCATCTTTGTCTTCTGTCACCGACATGTCATTTTGTTAGTTGAATGTTTACCATTGATCGCTATGGAGTTGTATTCGATTGAAGACCGCATTAAAGTTATTCAAGAGCATTACAAAAATGGTGCAAAAATAAAAAACGCGTTTCGCGCGCTTCGTAAACATTTCGGTCGCAACAACCGCCCAAACGAAACAACCATCGGTCGTCTGGTGCGTAAATTCGAGGCAACAGGTCCTGTGGCAAATCTGCCAGGCTCTGGCCGGCCAAAGAGCGGTCGCACACCGGAAAATATTGCTGTTGTGAAGGAGAGTGTGAGAGACGATCCGAAACAATCAACAACGCGTCGATCCCAAGAATTGGGCATTTCGAGAACCAGTTTGCTCCGCATTCTCCACAAGGATTTGAATGTACACGCCTACAAGATCCAATTGCGTCGGGCCGACCATTTTTCGCGCCGAATGTTCTCAGATTGGCTCCTTGAACACCGCCAAATTGATGCCAATTTTTCATCAAAAATCATGTTCAGCGACGAAGCGCATTTCACTTTAAATGGGACGGTAAACAAGCAAAACTGCCGCATCTGGGTGAACGAAAATCCTCGTGAGTATCAAGAGCAGCCGATGCATCCTCAAAAAAGTGACTGTGTGGTGTGCATTGTGGTCAAAAGGCATCATCGGACCTTACTTTTTCGAAAATGCGGCCGGGGACGCCGTTACCGTCAATTCTGAGCGATATCACGTGATGATAGAGGACTATTTTTTGCCGCAACTTGAAGGAATGGATATGGACGATGTGTATTTCCAACAAGACGGTGCAACATGCCACACAACCAACGTCAATATCCATCGATTGCAGTCTTTCTTCGGTGATCGCGTGATTTCGCGCAGAGGAAATGTGCCATGGCCACCAAGATCGTGCGATTTGACTCCCTTGGACTTCTTTTTATGGGGATATTTGAAAAGCAAAGTCTAGGTCAACAAACCAGCCACCCTCCAAGAACTCAAAAACAACATCATGTTGCAAAATGTCATTGAAAATTTCGACCATCGCGTGGACGTCTGTAAATCCAGTCGTGGTGAACATTTGAGCGATATTATTTTTCATACATAAATGGTGTGAATGAACCTTCAAAATAAAGTACCCAACTTGATTTGAATATCAATATTTCTTGTTTTAATATGCGTTTACTTTCCTGCGTCCGTCTTGGACAACCCCATATGATTGATTGTTAGTTATTAAGATATAAACCACACACAGGCGATGCCTTCTGTGGTTTTTTCATATTTATTTGCCCATTTTTTGTATTTTGGCGAATAAATATTATTATTATTATTATTATTTATATACTCATGTTGTTCTCTTTGTACATTGAGTTAATAAATATTTTTATTGGTGGATAATATTAAGCACCGTATCATCCCAGATGCTACTTTTAGGCGGCAGCGGTGGCCGAAGTCGTAGACTCGTCGGTCTCCTGATCAGTCGCCGTGCGCTGTGCGGATTCGAATCCCGTCCCAAGAGAATTTTTTTCTGTTGCTATGGATGTTGTCATTGTCCTTAGGCGGTAGGCGGTGTCTGACTGCCGAGGTACCACCCGGCGGATCTCGTGAGCGGGGCCAGGCTCACTTGTTCCCTCGCGAGAGTCCCCCCTTTCCCCTGTTTCCCCCTATAGCACTACGGTACCCCATTGGTGTTTAGGCCTTAGGCCTTCGTGATAGTTGGTATATAAAAAAAATCGTGAAAAAGCTATTGTATTACAAACAAATGAACTTTTTGAATATAATATGAGGCTTTTGTACAGAAAAAACAGGACAGCTTTAATGCATTTTGCTATTTCTAATGAATTTACAAATAGCGAAGGAGATCTAACCAATCAAACAACGAAAATGCAGGAAATCCTAAGTCGATATTCCAGCTATTATATTTGATAGGACGTTTTAACTGCTCTTCACGACTGTCATAATACATGGCAACCAAAGAATATCAAGTATGTTAGCAAGTAGAGATATACGTGGAATGATATAACCAAAACCATTTGTTGTTGGATAACGTTAAACTCAAAGGATGAAAAGTTTCTCTTACCCATGAGTGCCAACTTGATAGTAATCTTCTAACGTATGTCATAGAAGTTTTGACATAAAATTCACTGGCTTCAATTGAACACTAAATAATATCAAGTTGCCTTTGGAAACAAAAGCCTGTTTACTTACTTTATTGTCAGTTGACATTTATAAATTTATTTACGCTTTAAGATTTCGTATACATTAGAGATAAGAAGTATCTACAAGTTGGTTGGGCGGGTACTCAAAGGTAAAATCTGTCGAATACTTCAGAGTAAAAATATTCCACGCAGAACCATTTTTTATCGAATATAGTGGAGTGCAAGCAGGGAACACCATATCTGAATCTCCCAAAAAGTGGGAGACCACGTGCATTTACTGCACAGAGGTCGGGGTGATTGGTGAGAAGAGCAAAAAATCAGGTTGGAATGTCAACAAGGAGACTGGCTCGTCTATACAGATCTTCTAAGAGTACGATATCGATGGAATTTATTTATATTTAGTTATTTATTTATTTATATGTCATATTTCCTACAGGTACGAGTAAAACCCAATTACAGGAAAAGCTCAAATACTTTAACAAAAAGAAAATAAAGAGACATATTAAAAAATTAAACTTAACATCAATTGGCCTAAGTAAGCTGAAAGATTAATCTGTGATTTATGATTTATTTACAGCTATCATTATAAATATCGCACAGATCACAAACAGAGTTCATCAGACTGCACATTACATTACGTTGGTTGGTACTGAAAAACAGCATGTGCTGATGTAACCCGCCAGGTAAAATAAAGGCAAATTATTATTATTGTTATTATTATTATTATTGGAGATTTCAACATTACGTTCGTCCGGCCTGCTTGACAATAAAAGGCTTATTGTTGACGACTTTCAAGCCTTGGAATGCGGAAATATATTTTTTCAAGTAAATCCGGACAGTCGATTTGATTGTGCATAAGACCATATAAAAACAATAAGGCAACCATATTACGTCTAATTGATAGTGAATCTAACTCGAAAAAATTCAAAAGGGTATGATGACAAAAACCTCTTTCTGGATGAGAACCAGTACATTTAAGGTAAAAATACTTAATAGCCTTACGTTGAATGCCTTCAATCATTGAAACTGGATTTAGGTATATTATATACCAGATCAGGGTTGCATATTCCTTGCTTCTGACAAAAATAACGAACAAAGTCATTAAAGTACTGACATTGGAGAACCCCTTCCAGTTTTTGATACAGAAGCCAAGTAGTCTCTTGGCAGCCGATAAGACATTAAGTATATGGTCGCTAAACATTAGCCTGCTATCAAAGGTTACTCCAAGGTCCTTAAAAGAGTAGCATCTGTCTAGAATCTGAACGTTGACGTTAAATCATCGTATATTAAATAGTTAGTCTTTCTTGTATAATACACAACTTTACGTTTAGAAGCATTCAAACCAAGACAGCATCAGATAACCATCAATTGACTCGACCGATGCGTAAATCTTAACGTCGTCAGCAAAAAACAGGTGCAAACACTTAAGATCAAGAGACAAATCGTTAATAAAGTGTAGACACTGTGGTTAGGTGTTGTCAGGCATGGCTTCGAGAAGGCCGTACGCAAAGAGCAAGGGGCACTGGACGCCGCCGTAGAACAACAGACCGTGAAGATCGCCGCCTAAGATTATTGGCCTTAAGGGACCGTTTCTCCACTACCAGGTCCATTGCAAATGAATGGTTTGCAGAACACGGAAGACTTATTGGCATGCGAAGTGTTTACCGACGAATGAGAAGTTTTGACTTGTTTTCATACCGTCAACTCTGGGTCCTCCCTTTAACTCGAGAACACCGACGTAATCGCCTTGAGTGGTGCAGACAACGGTTACTCTGGGATCAGGAATGGAACAGTATTGTCTTTAGTGACGAGTCTCGATTTTGTTTAGGCATGCACGATGGTCGTGCCAGGGTTAGAAGGCGACGTGGTGAAAGGAGGAATCCACAGTTTTTTATTGAAAGACATGTTCATCACCCTGTTGGAGTTATGGTTTGGGGTGCTATAGCTTATGGTTCCAGGTCACCTTTAATCTTCATCAGAGGTAACATGAACGCACAGCGTTATATCCACGAAGTTCTAGAACCCCATATTTTACCCTATCTTGACACCCTGGCAGATCCAACTGTCCAACAAGATAATGTCCGACCACATGTTGCAAGAGTCACAATAGACTTCTTTCAACATAATGATGTCACATTGTTACCATGGCCACCAAGATCTCCCGACTTATCCCCAATTGAGCACGTGTGGGATATGATGGGTAGGAGATTGCTCAATTTGCAACGACCTCCTCAGACTCTAGAAGCACTTCGAGAGGAGTTGGTGGTTGCCTGGAATGAGATACCACAGGAGGACATTGACCACCTGATCAGAAGCATGCCTAAGCGCGTTGGAGAATGCGTAGCACATCAGGGTGCATCCACACATTATTAAAGGTCAAAGGGCTTTAAAGCAGTGCAATCATTTTGAAATTTTTATCATTTACTTATTATGCTTCATTAAGTACTTATACAAAATTTTATTAAAATAAAACCATTTAAACTGGGTGTTCGGATTTATATGCCACTTAGTATATATATATACACATTAACATCGCCGGCCAAGGATAGAAATATGGGCAGGCTGTCACTTCATTTCCAACCCCGGATTAATCATTTTTGTGGCGTTCCATTCAACAAAATTAAAAACCCAGCTGTGATAAAATACAGTTACTCCGCTATCGATTGTTGCATACGTAGGACAATGCACACGCTAACACACTTTCCTCAACTTACCGTTCACGTACAACTGCACAGCATGCCTATCTGTGCCTTTGTCGTTCTCCACAGCTAGGTAATATGCTCTCGAATCCGTGGACGTAGTATCTCTTATATGAAGCGTGGCTAGATAGCAGTCTTCCCTTTCTTCTTGCGTCACGTCGTCTACCTTGTATTTTCCTGCAACATAAAATACTTGCTTATACACACTACTGGCTTCAATTCCAGAAAATCTTTAGTATCGTAAAGTGGCTACAAACCTACTGGATCTTATTACAGGGGCGTAGAGTAAGAGTTTGAATTGAGACTAGAGTCCAAGGTGCAGCGGCGCTCCCAGGATTTCGGTCTGGGAAGGGTAAAATGGAAAGTGAATTCTCAGTGTGACGTACTGAAGTGTTATAATGATTTAACATTGAAAGCATGGACATATGCAGACATATGAATTTGTTACAGTAATTTCTGCAGAAAATACGTACAATTTTTTTTTTCAATTTGAATCATACGAAATCAGATGTGTCAAGAGAGGTACAAACGCTTACTAAGTTCGAGGTACGTATAAAACATTATTTACCATGGGCTTATTGGGCAAGCAAAAAATATGGTGTTGCCCTGAAGTGGGCAAAAATGACGTCAGGTAGGAGAACCCTGCAGTTCCCTCGCAATTCTGTCATCCATTAGATTATGTTTGATTTAATTATAAGTCGAGGGATTAAACAAAATCCAACACAACTAAAATGTACACGGCTACGTTGTCTGCAGTAAGCTGTTGGAGTGGTAGTGCCTGACAAGTGTTTTGATTAGCGCCACTTAAAAAACGCATATTCTAACAATATATTCTAACAAATTGAAACCTGACTAGGCATGTCCACTCAACTACTATATCGTAAAATTACAGTTTTATACATTGATATTGCAAACGTATTTCAAAAAATGTTATTTTCTAATTAGGCTTTGAAGTTTTCATATAGTCATTTATTTCATATTATCACCAAACACGCATTGTTTCAGTATTTAAGAACCTGGCATAAGCAGTCGCTATTTCGGAGTTGAATGATATGATACTGTACATATAATGATATACGATAAAACTTCAAATACCTAATTATATAACCATTCTACTATAACTGGTGTTAACTCATCGATTAAAGAACAACATAATGCAAACCTTTTCATATTATTTAAGATTCCTATTGAAAACATTAAAAACAGTTTTATTTTATGTAACTGACAGAAGCATTATGGAGTAAGTAAAGACTTCCTAAACACATATATTATATCCGCTATGTATACGTATACTCAGTTGCCAAAAAACAAGCTGAAGAAATTATTTTTTCTGGGTGTAACACATCTAATGTCGCTGAGTATATAAGCCGATGAAAATATTAGGTTTTTTTTTCAAAATAGCTCATTTTTGAAAATATCTTTATATGACATGCAATACATTTTTGGAATCCGAATTGAAAAGTGTATTCATCTGCAGAAAAATCCAGTATGGCGTCTGTAAGAAAAAATAAAATTTTCGATTATGTACAGCAGATAAAGGTCATATTGAAATTCTGGTTACGCCATCTTGTAAAGAAGAGCAAGTGGCAGTGTCAATGTGCTTTTTATCTAAAAATCTTATCTCAAATAAAAACAGGGAAACACCCAAAACGATTTTGGGAAAACTCGGAATAATTGGATTTGAGAAATTGTCACGTGCCAAAATGACGCAAACTTTTTTTCACTATTTTGAGCACTTATCAGCAATTTGAATTTCTGTTTACTAATAGTAGAGTGCCCATTCCTAGGCCAAGCCCTTTTTTAATTATTTTCTTTTAGCGAATTTCGTAGTTTATTGATTGTATAATTTCACACGTATTATATCTTTCTTTCTCAGCGACTCAGTATTGTATCGAAATCTGTTGGACACTAATGTTATAGTACTATTAACGGCTATCTTAGAAATTTCCTCACAAAATATCGTTGAACCTCGTAGAGTTGGCAACCAGCGCGCCACCTTGTGACTTTACATGTACTAGCCGTATATGGATATTTGGTTCTAACAAGATACCTACTTCTAGGCCATTCATTTAACCTTCTTTTAATGTTTAGTTTCCTATCTGTTAAAATTTGATTTACTATCAAGATACCCTTTTTGAAATGTGATTTACTATCCAGATACCCTCTTTCAATTGCATATCGACGCGTCCAGCGCCATTTTGCTTTTGCTTTTCCTGTGTGATTTTGGTTGTGTGCGGCGTTTTTTCGTTAACCATTAACGCCCGCTGTACTCAAGCGAGTACACTCGTTTTGTTCCTATCAGAGCCATCCCTGAGTCAACCGCAGAAATATATTTAGAAACATTTGTAGATGGTACATGCGACAGGGCGCAAGAGCCATTTTTCATAAATTCTGTGAGTGTGACGTTGTTTACAGTATTAGAAGTTATTGATTATTTGATCTAAGGTAAGTTCGGCTTTTACATATTTTTTTTCATTGAGGTGACCATCTAATAAGCTAAAGCTTTTATATTATGTATATGTAAAGGTTGTTTGATTGATTTGCCGGGCATACATTATTTTAACTGATGTGATCTAATTAGAATGTATGTTTAAGTTTGACTGTACTCAAATGAGTACACTGGGCAAACTCGTTATCATTCGACTAATGCTATTTTTTGTTTGTTTTAGATATGTGTAAACCGTTTTTTGATGATCTTGTTAAAACATTCGGGTATTACAATTTTTTGCCTGATGCTCTAGATGATTTAAAATATAACGATGATATTGTGGTCTTGCCTCCAGACGCACATTATTTTGACTAACGAGGAGGAATTGTACGAAAACCAACTGATGGCAAATGGATTGCCACAAGATGTTTCCGGCTGTTTCGCCAAAGTTCAGCTAATGACGAGTTCTACACCAGCGACGAAGAGCCTTGAGTGGAGTGCGGAAACATAAAAATAAATGAATCTGAACGCGATGACTTGGACTGGGAGAAATGCAATCCTAAATATTCCATTTGGTCTGAGAAGCCATCGTTATGTGAAATGAATGCCAATAGAGATAAACTAGCGGAAGAGATAAAGGATTTGAATCCTAAACTATTTGAACTTTTCTTTTATGATCCGGTTTTGCAACATATTATGTATTTCAAAATAATCGGCATAATTTCATCACCAGCAAAGAAGAAATGAAAACCTTCATAAATGCGGACATTTTCCTGCGAAGCTAGAGAAGCAATTACGATGTGCAGTATGCCGTTCAAGGGTTTGTCAACACTATGTATTGAACGTGCATGCTTCAAGTTACATTATACAAAATAAACGGTTTCGCCCATTGTACTCAAATGAGTACAGATATTTTTTTGGAAAAAATAATAAAATATACATATATAGTTTTATGATCTTCAGTTTTTATTTTTGTCCTAATAACCTAACTTATATACGTAATATCCGTTTTCAATATTCAAACTTAATTTGGGCGTTATTAGGTTAACTTCCAGATTTAGGGATACAAACGCCCCAAACACCAGTTTATGGAGTAGTACCCTTTTATTTCGTACCCTGCGTTTAGTTTTTTTCGCTTGGGTCTACCCGGTCCATTTTCTAACCATCGGACTATGTCGATTAATGTTTGTCCTGAAGAATTTTGTTCAATATCTGCTTCCTTTTAGTGGAAAGCCATTGTGAAGAACCACAATTCGCACACATCTAGCTTTGTTTTGCAGCTGCTCTGTAGCTGTTTCGCAGCCGATTTTGTTGAAAGCCATCCCTTTCAGTTGCTAAAAAACCCTGATGTATGTGAACAGGTTTTTTTTATACCGTCAGTCTTAGAAAACAACGCAGGCAGCCCCTACCTTGTGTCGTTCCTAACGTCACTGGACACTGATTTTTGACCTGAGAACATCACTGCTGCGCCTAGAACTATAACTGGAAGAAGATCATTCCAGATAAGACCACTATCCAGAAAAGCTTTATTGAGCTAGTGCCTAAGCTTGCACGCCACTTGATAGCTGTTTTGCATTGACTGATCCTTAGATTTTATTTATAGTAATTTATTAATCCATTAATTAATTTAAAAAAAAGGAAAGAGGAAAAAAGGCGTGGCAAAATTTTCTAAGTGCCATTTTCTTTACTACCTAAATACGCAACTTTTCCCTCATTTATCCAACTCTTACCGTTTCCGAGGATTTGAAACACCCGGTCTGCTTAAATAGATGCAACATTTTGTATTCCCAATGAGTAGGGGTGCAGGCATACAATTGTACAAAAGCGTGCATAGTGAAAACGTATCGAGTAAGATACGGGTACATTTTAACTGCACATCACTGGTACGAAGTTATTTATTCTGGAAAGCTTGGCGTGAACGATGGATCCACATTGGTGGAGCAAGATGAGGGCTAGAATCTAGATACAAACCCCACCGAATAATCACTAAAGGATTTGTGACCGAACATGTCTGAGTGGCCCAGCTTAGTAGTTTTTAGAAATTGCTCCAATGGCGGCTGACAAAAATTTGCTAACGGAAAAAATAAAAATTGCTCAAACTTCGTTTTCTGATGTTTTAGGGATCCTTATCATTTTTGAAAAAAATGCTAGAGGTAGAAAATTAGGGGTAAGGGGGCTGTAAGGATGACTCAATTTTTTCATCCTCGGTTAATCTATGCACAGAATCAGATTTATATATAGTTTGCTATAAACCTATTTGTAAAGCTTACCGTATTTTGATATTTATCACCAGTCCTACGACATTTAAAATGGATCTGTTGAGAAGGTGTGCATCATAAGGATAAATATACCCCTGGGAACATTATTGAGGTATCTGCTCGCTTGCATACCAGTTTCGGTCATTTTAATCTTCAGAATCTGACATACAATTTTTGACAATCAAATTCACGAGAAGTTAAAGTCAAAGAAGCCAGAAATCACGTAAAAGTGCTGTACTGAGTGTTACTCTAGACTGAAAGTCGAAAATGAGCAAAAAGAGAAAGAAAAATGAAGAAGACGGTAAAAATCAAGTGGATAACCATAAAACTATAGTCATTAGAAATGAAAATCACTAAATCAAGAAATTCGGACGATAATAAATAACGAAAAAAATACGGAAACAGCACTTAAACAAGAGATTAAGTGACTTAATGAGAAAATTGAACTACTGAGTGAATTACTAGCTGAAAACGATAGGCTAGTTCATGAATTGTCTAACGAAAATCGTAGGCTCCAAGAGCACTACGATCGATTAGCCACCAAGGTTGTAGAAAAGGACACTATTATCAGCACACTGGAAAGACTAAATACACGAATGGACGTATTTGAAAAATCAACCGCAACTAAGAATGTCTCATATTCTCAGATAGTAAAGTATCACCAAACAGAGAGACAAGATCTTTGGAAAGCATAATCATTACACCTGATCAACATCAACCAAACTACAAGACCAGATACGATACCAACTAAAACTTAGACCTCTCGAAACTTCGGATAGGTATCGACAAGGTCAAAAACTACAGAAATGGAGTTGTAGAAATAACCGTACAAGAAGTACAAGAAGAAATTATAAAACAAAATGACTTTGTGGCTAACGGAGATATATCCATTACTTATATTAATTATGTTGCCTACAAAAAATTTACATTATTTTTGCTGAAGTGACAGGTAAAATATATAGATATATTTTCGATAACAACAATGGAAAAATTTTATTAGGATTTGAAAATCTTATCGCTTATGACAACAATATAGCATCACAATGTAAAAATCTGCCATACGATTGTAAACACTTCACCTTTGGTAGTGGGCTCGTGGAACTCACATAAGCAGGTAGCAGTAGTAGGGCAGCATCTCTCTATATGATACTTTAGTGTAATTTCATGAAGTTATTTGATTTCGTGAGGTAATGTGTTAGGGTATTATGTATTATAATATGATGTGTTGAGGTTAGTCATTGCCAATCAGTAGCTAGTTAGGAGACAGTTATTTTTGGGACGATTTATGGTATAAGATGCCTTAGATGTGTTTTCAGTACGTATTACCTACCCAACATTATTTTCAGGGATTGAAGCAAGGTTTCTGCGGCCCATTTGAAAAGGCAAATATCCTCACCATTTATGCATCAATGGTCAAAAAGGAGAAGGCAAAATGTTACAAAAATACATTCAGTTTGTTGTTAATTAAATAATAAAGTATTGTAGGTCTTTTATTACTTCACCCAATGGACAACTGGGATATGTAGTGGTGGTTATTCATGTAAATCGGCAATCAGGTTTGCAGTAGACACTGCTCCATTGGTTGAGTATGGAATTGTGTCTTTATACGAGGGATGTCTTTTAAGTTTTGCATATGGAAATAAAACAACACGGTTCACCTTCTGTTTGTGGCATCTTTATGTATTTATTGTAAACCCTGACAGTTGCTCTTCCGACTTTTGCTACTATTCTCAACAAGTGTATCCCACCAAAAACAACAATAGTTGATAATAGAGAACACGTTTTGATTGCCGGAATTAAAACGGTTATTAATCGAACCGTTTACTATAATAATATCAGCCTATTCTTCGACCGTTTGGTACATACTATCACATGGAAACTCGATTTAGAATGATTGTAAAGTCTGGTTTTATTGATGAAAGTTGTTCAAGCCTACGCGCAAAAAGCGTACGCCAATTTTGTGGGAAAACTTTAGATTCGACAAGGTACGAGAAAACGTGCTTTTTGGGATTCAATTGAAAGTGTTGGCAGGAAAGAAAAAACTATTCCTATAAGATTTTTAGGTATTTATGAGACCTACAGAATGAACTGCAGCCGCACGTAAAAAGATCCGACTAATAGTAAAAAAGTTATCGCCAAAAACCGAGGCAAAGCGCAGGTTTTGTTAGTGGGGTCTTTTTACGTGTGGTCTCATGCATACCTAAAAACCTTATTAGAGAATTGTTTGGTTCCTGCCAACCCTTTCGATTGAATCACAAAAGACACGTTCTCTGATTCTTTGTTGTCCCTCAAAAATTGGTGTACCCATTTTATGCGCCTATGTTTTAAATACCCCCTTGAACGACTTGCATCAATAAAACCAGACTTTACAATTATTTTGCGAACCAGGGGTATTTTCGTCTAATATGATTAGACTACAGCTATGGCACTCGGCTATTCTGGTAGTCATAAAACCAGTCATCCGTTACAAGTGCTTACGCACAGTACTGTGGAATGAGAAGCAAGGCCATCAACTACAACGAATGGAAAATGAGAACAACGAAACTTGAGTACGTCCATGGCAGGACGTACGTTTTCTGTTTGAAACGGCTTTATCGCAAACGGACGCATCTAAATAGGCTTTAGTGTGACGCAGATGCATCTGGTTCCTTTATCGCTCTGCTTCCACAGTATACTTGTCGGGCCCGACCATTCGAACTAAGTGAAAGCAGCTGGCATGCGATTTGTTTTGAACAAAAATTACGTAGTCAGTAGTTAGGATGCATGTGCATGCTACATGTCGACCCGTCAATTTGACAGAAGTTGACAGTGCGCATTAAGCTTGTATTTTTCTGCGAAAACATATGAATCGTGTGCACATAGTGAAGTCATGTCGGAATTTTTAGAGCACCACCGACCAACAAAAATGACGTACCAATGACGACATTATGACCGCCTGATGTCACATCCAATTGACGTCCATTATATGACGTCATAGAATATCGTATTAAAGACCATTTCGATATGACGTCTACGTGACGTCAATGTGATCTACAGTCTCTTGCAAAAATAATCGCGCGGTGCTCCTGAAAAACTGAGGATGTGACAACGACGCCCAACAACACAATCTGTACGTGGTATACTATTGTTAGAAAAGTCATCTTAACAAGATATTTTTGGACGAAGAATTCCTGTTACTTTTTATAAATAACAATAAAGTAGTTATTAGTACTGGTATTTGGATATCTAGTTCACCTTGCTGTCCATTAAAACTCTATATTTTCTTTGTAGGTAGTGTTGATTTTTCAGTACTAAAAAAGACGTCAAAATGACAGCCTTTTCAGGTGCGTCTTGATGTCGTCATAAAAATTACGTCAAAAAAGACGTCGTTTTTTAGTCAAAAGTGACTGAATAATAACGTCATTTTGGCGTCATCATGTTCGATGGGAAGGTGCGTATATTTTCATATGATTTTCAGAAGTAGTGGGGGTTGTTGAGTTTTGCAAAAAGTAGTTTTGCTAACATAACAGACGAAAGAAACCAAACTTTTCCAAAAACGTTTTCGTTTCTTTCTGATTTTACTTGAGATGGGATTATAAAATAAAAAGTACATTAGCATTGCAAGTTTTTCTCCTATACAAGATGGCATAATTAGAATGTCAGTATGGCGTTTCGTCTCTTGTTCTCAATCATCAACATCCTTATTTCTTATGGACGCCCTATTGGATTATTGAACAGTTGAATAGAGTTTTTATTCCTGATTCAAAAAATGTTTATTATATACTTACACCAATATTTTTTCATATTGGTCTGATTGAAGTTCGACGATTTTCTCTAAGCATGCTTTCCTCACTCCACACATTTCTGTCTGCTGATGCAGCACTCAATGCATCTGGTCGCGGCTTATTATTCGTCTCATCTCTCCAACTCTTAAATTTTCGATACCAGTCCTTCACGTTTGGATACGCAAAACATGCGTCTCCATACACTGCTTGCATTCGCGTACCAATTAGAAATGTTTACGAGGCTAATCTGACCAAATATGGGTCTCAATTGAACAAGCCTCGTATTACATACATTGACATTTCCAAACCCAACTCATTAAGAAAAATCAGAATTTCCTGAGTTGGCTTTGAAATTATCATATAGTATTTTGTTTCATAATATGATCAGACAAGCATTCGCTCAGTACTATTAGTAGTAGGTAAGCAATCATTATACGTTCATACCACAAAACTTCAGATATCTAAAAAATCAATCCTTCTAAAGTTGGTATTACCTCCTTGAATAATAGAACAACAAAAGAACAACATATTATTGAAGTTTTTTTCATATCATTCAAGCGTAGTATTGAAAACATTAAAAAATATTATTTTATGTAACTGATAGAAACATTGCAGGGTAGCATTAACGATGTTTCAGCGTCCTAAAAACTGTAACACCCATCTGCACCCACCTGCTGCCACCTGCCCATGGAAGTTCGTAAAAACGCCGAAATGTTTCTCGGCTCGTCGATAGGGCCATAAGAATCCAACCAGTGCTTCTATTCTTGACGTCAATATAAAATCACACTCTCTCTTTTTCTACTCCCCCGGTTTTCTATCAATTCGAAAATACTGTATTCTTGAAAGGACTCGATAGAAAGGAGAAAGGAAATCAAGACACAGGGTTGCCAGATTTTAGTAAACGTGTTAAAGCTATCAAAATGCAGATAATTTTATATGTGAAGCCAAAAACTTTAAAAAATCACATTACAAATGAACAAAATGTTTGAATTTCTCAGAGAGCACCCCCAAATGCACCAGGGAAAATTCAATCATAGATTGAAGGATACTGTTTTAGAATGAATAAAACTTAATATCTAATCTTGACTTTGTTTTGATCGAAAGTGCAGAAGCTCGTGGGGGTGGTTGATTGAATGGAATCAATATCTCCAGCAATTCATACACCAAATCTTTCATCAACCTAAGCACCTGTACAGATTCTCGATCCGCAATTATGAAAGGATCTCGGTGCCCAAGAATATCTCTCAATCTGCCATTCCTCAACTGCCTCCTCTACATCCTCGTTAATAATATCGTTATTCTTGATAGAAATTAACAATTTTTTGCAACATGTTTAGCAGGAATGACAATAAAAATGTCAAACACGTAAATTTTTAGGTTA